TATAGCTGTCTCTCTTGGTATCGGACTTGCTTAGAGAGAACGGATGTGATTGCTGCATGCTTTGTTAGCAGCACCTTCACCAGCCAGGGGTTGAGTAGAAAGTAATCGTTGTGTTTCCCGAGACAAAGAACGAGTGCTGGATTCTCCAAACTTACAGAAATGCATGGCACGGAGTTCCACCGCTGCCCGGCTATCATTGCTCCCCAAACGCCTCCTGCAACGAAAACACAGCTGTCACCTCTCACAAAAGATTATGTTTGATTGATTGCCTAATTGCTCTATTGTGCCACCTAGTGTGAAAAGCGCGGCTGAACATCCACACGCATATATGTACGCATAATATTGTCTTATGTACGCTAATAGTTTTGTACGGCCTTGCTTGATGAACCAGCGGCGACAGAAGAGTGGTCGAAAAAGAAAACATGATGAACAGTTCGCCCACAACGTGACACATGTGCATTGTTATACTTTACGTCTATGTTCCCAAAGTGTTCAAAACGTTGCAATCCACCACCCCGCCCACCCCCCATGTACCGCACAGGGCGTTGGACAGTTGTTCCCATGGAACGTTTTCATCAATGCGGAGGACTACTTTCGCAGACGTCTCTGCGGCTCCTCGTTCGAGAATAACTTCGAGAATTTCTTTTCCGTCGGATATAACCTCGCTGCCATCTTGGGCCTGCTGCTCGCTCTAAGGTCAGTCAGCCTTTTCACCGAGATTTTTGTGGCTACAATTTGAAGGGTCGTTGCCGACGAAGAACATGACTGCTATAGAGAAAAGGGGAACCCCCGGGCTGTTGCCATTACTGGAGAACGACAAATTGGTTTGATGAGTTTTCTTTTCATCGGCAGAATTCCATGATTTCTGTGGGTGTGTCTAGGCACACTTCGCGTTCAGCAATGACATCTTTCTAGGAGGCACCTCGTTGTTCTCGTCGTCGTCTCAGCGTCAGACTTCGTACCATTTGGTTCGGGCTATGAACAACCAGAGCGCAGTATTGTTTCTCTTTGTTGGCCATCGGATTTTCCGGTTGTCAAGCACGTATGCCGGACCCCCAAACAAATGGCCGTCTTCCCTCCCTCCTCTTCTCTTGGAAGATATGTCGCGAGGCCCGTTCGGTAGTACCCTGTATTTCCTGTACCTGCGCTCCGTTGCCGTTCACCTCATGTCATGGAGAATTAATCCATAATTGAACATGTTAGGGCACCAACATGTGGCCGAGACAGAGCCTCTTCCACTCGACCCGACAGCACCCTGAGCCTTGTGTTACGGTGCCTCCTTGGTGCCCAGTTCGTCCTTCTGGATGAAAGGGCAGCTCTGGCAACATCATCATTCTCCACGACGGGCTTGTTTTTCGTTCGCAAACGAGATCGAACTTGTTTTCTCCCGCCCCTGCCCTCTCCCGCCCCCCCCCGGTGTTTGCCATCGGGGTTGGGTTTTCGTCGCTTGGCAATGACGTTGTAAAACAAGCCGCCCCCCCCGGTGTTTGCCATCGGGATTGGGTTTTCGTCGCTTGGCAACGACGTTGTAAAACAAGCCAATTCACTTCGTGAACTCGGCAACCAAGTTACCGTTTATTTTTTTTTACCTACGGGTTTTTTTTTTTGGCGGTAACCAGAATGGTGGTCGAGTAGATCATGTTGTGCGGGGTGGAGAACCCTCACTCCGCGCAAGGGGGATGATCGCACCACGTTGTGTTAAAATGGTCAAGCACCCTCGAGGCAGTTACACAGTGCTT